ACCCAGCCAAGCTGAGGGAGGCAAAGGCGGATGTCCTCCCAGAGCCTGGTCAGCAAAGGCTTCTCACACCAGCACAGTCTGAGCCAAGTCTGTGGAGACAGTCAGGTCCCAGGAGCTCCATGGGAGGGCCTGGGAAGTGAAGCTGGGCAGAGCCATCTGAGAAGAGTTAGCTCTAGGAGGAAGCCAAGGAGGACTATTGGGCTAGGACAGCGAAAAAGGAGGAAGTCATTAAGGTAAGTCCAAGTACTTTCTGATGTTTGGGGCTAACTGCTAGAGGAAGTTGATGGGATCAGCCCCAGTCCTTGCTTTGTGTCCTTGTCTTTATGGGCTGCCTTCCTGGCTGCGTGTCCTGGGACAGCATCGTTGCAAAGCCAGCACTGCTGACAGATATAGGGCAGGGTGGGGGAAGGGGGTGGTGGAGGGCAGCGGTGTTGAGACATCACCCTTTACCACCTGGAACATTGTGAGGACACAGGCAGGCAAGATGCTGCCACTCCTGGTCCTGGCCTGGCGCCAACACTCCTGCTCCAGACAGGCTGGAAGCTCGCCATTCAACAGGGATGCCCAGCTGGGAGGCCGGCCATTAAACTGCTGTGTGTCCTTGGGCAAGTCACCTCACTTGCTTAGCATTTTGAGATTGAGAGTTGGACCTAATCTCAAACAGTTCCCGAATCTTTCAACTTTAGGTTATCCCAAAAGGCAAAGGCTAGTCTTGTCCCAGCCTCACATCTGCTCTTTGGGCCCCACTTCTCCAGCACACACACCTTTCCTCTCCCTGGACTGCCCCACTCCTCCCTGTTGCCCCATGTGAGCAAGTCCTGTCCACATCCCTTCTTGCTCCATGGAGGCACTTGTCGCTCAGGACCACCCTCTCTTTCTGTGACACCTGCTGATCTTTTCAACCTGGTCAAATGGGCAAATGTGGGGCTCCTCCCCGGCAACAAGCATTTATGTTTATCCCGAGCATTTCCTGTCTTAACCCTGTCAGTTACTTTCATGCTAGGAATTTCACATGCTCTGACTTTATCGAATTTCGGAACATTCTGGAAGTAACTGAAATTGTAGCTGCTTCTGCATTTATTTATTTGTTTGTTTGTTTGTTTGTTCGTTTGTTTTTTGAGACGGAGTTTCGCTCTTCTTACCCAGGCTGGAGTGCAATGGCACGATCTCGGCTCACCGCAACCTCCGCCTCCTGGGTTCAGGCAATTCTCCTGCCTCAGCCTCCTGAGTAGCTGGGATTACAGGCACGTGCCAGCACGCCCAGCTAGTTTTTTGTATTTTTAGTAGAGACGGGGTTTCACCATGTTGACCAGGATGGTCTCGATCTCTCGACCTCGTGATCCACCCGCCTCGGCCTCCCAAAGTGCTGGGATTACAGGCTTGAGCCACCGCGCCCGGCTTGCATTCATTTATTAATGTGGTCACACAACAAACCTTTTTGTGACGAGTCTACCAAAGACTTTGTTATATGCTGTGGAAATAGCAAATTTTTTTCCTGATTTTTCAAAGTCAGCACAGACTTCAAATATTTTCTTCCATTGTCTCCGTAAGGATATTCAGGTGTGTCAATCTGCCTGTCCTTCATTTTAATTCAGGAAATATGGTCACCATAGTTGAAGAGGCCCAAAAGATGTGACCCTACCCTCAAAGAGCAAATAGTTGCCAGGGGAACAAAGCCAAGAGTCTGCGCAACACACAAATGTGTGTGCTTCCTGGCTCCACAGACCACACATGCCGCGTTGGGACCACTGCCTGTGGGCCTTCCTGCTGAGCATCCCACCAGACACCAGGAAGCATCTGTTTAGGAGGCACAGGTAAAACCGCAATGAGAGGCCAGAGGAAGAGAAGGAGAGTCCACATTTACTGAGCCCAGTTGCATGACATACATTATCTTATTCACAATTTAATTAAACAACCCTATGAAGTAGGTATTACTGCTGCCACTTCGCAAGAAAGATTAATTAACTTGCCCAGAGTCACAGAGCTGGCCAGTGACAGAGGCCACATTTGAGCCCAGTTCTCTCTAACCCTTCACAGCCATGCTCCGCTACCTTCCTACTGAGAAAGTCCTGCTTCATTCACCAAGGGGGTGGTCCTGGAAGGAGGCCTGTTACGAAGTCACTGAGATAACAAACATGCATCATTTAGTTCATCCAAACTTGCAGTAACTGCAGTGGCAAAGGAAAAATGATCCTGCTGACCCAAGAGGTCTTCTTTTCCTCTCCTGAGCAAGAATCTCCCAGCTGCTGACTGGCACTGCCCTTCCACCACCTCCTCTTCCTGTCCGGAGCTCCCCTACCCTGCCCTGATATCCAAAGCCCTCCCTGCCCCAGCCAAACCCCTGTTACTGGGAAACACTGAGGTCAGCAGCGTGCCAGCAACGTCAGCACTAGCCTGGAGGCCAGGGCAGAGATTTATCTCACCATGGCTGAAGCTGCTGACTTTCTCATTTCCTGTGACTCTATTTGCATACCTCTCGCTTTCTGCTGTGCCCAGTTCACTAAGCTACTGATGCAGACTCCCCCCATCCCCATGGTGGCCAAATGAGGGCCAGGGTGGTTCTCTGAGTCACATAGCAACCCCTTCCCATCCCTTCAGCCAGAGATGAACCAGGCATCCTCCTTGGATGACCTGGGGCAGCTCAGCCTCTCATGCTTGCTTTCCTTGTTTATAGAGTAGAAATAAAAATACTGTCTGCCTTGCCTACCTTCCTGCATAACTCACAGGGAAAGAGCATGAAAAAGTGTATGTTCGAGGATTGAAACAGCATTAATTTATCAGAAAGCACAAGGCCTATTCATTATCATTATTTCAAAGTCGGGGAAGGGACAGAATTTCTCCTCATAGAGACAAGGCCCTGGACCCAGGCTGCCCATTCTCCTTGTAACTGCCTTGCAAGCCCCCATCCCAGCCGTGTTTCCTCTTCTCCCTTCCAGATGCCCGGCAGCAGCTTGCAGAGGCTGCCCTCTGCTGTCCACCTGAGTCTGGACCTCAGCCACCCTCCAAGTCCAAAATTTGGGGGCCATTATTGCCACCTGGTGGTTAATAGAAGCACTGCCACCAAACTGAGAGCTCAGCTTTGAAATGGAGAAATCCCCCTAATTCCTGAGATCTGTCTCTGGGATGCACGCAGGCCTCCCCACAACAGGTCCTTGTGCTTTCAGAGAAAGCATATCTGGCCACGTCTCAAGTCATGCAGAGAGCATCTGGGATAGGTGTGGGAGTAGGAAGGATGGAAGGAATATGTTAACCAGAATACACATTTTTAATATTTTAATGTCCAATACCACGCACATCGTCTCTGCACTTGTCCCACTGTGCCCTGCTCACAGTGACCCAGCCCTTGTTGGTCCCAACTTACCAAAACTTCTGGTCCCCCTGGGGCACCCATACCACTTGCTGGTCATAAAACAGCCAGTAACTGCCGGGCGTGGTGGCTCACGCCTGTGATTCCAGGACTTCAGGAGGCCGAGGTAAGCAGATCACAAGGTCAGGTGTTCAAGACCAGCCTGGCCAACATGGTGAAACCCCGTCTCTACTAAAAATACAAAAATTAGCCAGGTGTGGTGGCACATGCCTGTAATCCCAGCTTCTCAGGAGGCTGAGGCAGGAGAATCATTTGAACCTGGGAGGCAGAGATTGCAGTGAGGCGAAATCGTGCCATTGCACTCCAGCCTATGTGACAGAACAAGACTCCGTCTCAAATAAAAAATAATTTTTTAAAAAGCCAGTGACACATTTCTATGTGTCCTTTTTTGTTTTCTTTCCGCTCCCACCCGCCCCCACTGGACCTACAATCCCTTTGGGAGATGAAATTCAACAGGTAAAAGCAGGGCCACAGCAGGTGTCTCTGAAAGGAGGTAGTGGAGTTCCCACAGGAAAGAGAAAAGGGAAGAGGGGAGCCAGCACAGAACCAAGAATCGCAGAGAGGGAGCCATGGGCTTCTCCCGGAGACCCTAAAACAGAGCCCCAGGAAGAGGTGATGACATAAGAGGCTTCTCAAACCTCACAAGAGGAAGTAGACCCAAGAGACACGCACTGGAGGTCAGAGAGTGGCCATGCAAAAGGAAAGACAGCAAACGAGCTGCAGCAAGCTCCTCAGCCCTGCAGCTCAGGGTACAGGAAACCAGAGGCAGAGCCTCAGGCCAGGGTGAGGGGCAAAGTGCCAGCCTGAGCCTCTTGCAGCATAGAGCAGCTGGAAGAGAGCAGTGCTAGAGCCACTGGAGGATTACGGCTGTCTGTTCCGAGGGCAGCAGCCTGCCTGGGTCTGAGGTGCAAGGCCCAAGTCCTGACTAGGTACTTCAGCCAAGCCCAGGGAGTTAGGGACTGTGCCAGGTGGCTAGAGGTAGCCAGGGCTGGAAACACGAATGTCTGGGCTACAGCACAGCCCCTGCAAAAACCCAGCAAATGAACATACTCTGGAGCACCACACAGCCTCCCATGCATGGCTTGTCCCTAGGACCTGTTACTGCTCCCTAGACCCCTTAAAAAACAGGCCCTGGCCTGCACCCAGAGAATGATCTGGAGGTGGGGCTACAAAAGAAACTGTCTCTTGCAGGTAGGTGGAGCCGAGCAGCGAGGGAGACCCAGAGGAAGACGTGTTGAGGGAGGAGCTGAGACCCATCTCGGGGGTCGGCACTGGAAGAGGGCTTTCTCTCTTCACTCTAACTTGGAACCTCCTCTGCAGAGAACTTTATCAAAGTTGGAGGGAGGAGGATGCTCAGAGTGGGGTGTTGCCCTCAGCAAGGATTTGGAGTCCCCTGGGAAGCATCAGCTTCAGGCATCTCCAGAACCCTGGCTTGGACCCTGACCAAGGAGTGTCCCCAACTATGGAATAGGGCAGGAGTCACCTTTCTCTAAGGCTGACATCTCTCCCTCTAGGGTGTGTCCTGCCCCTCCCTGAGTCACCCCAAGGGGAGAGAGGGGAAAAAAGGGAAGAGAAGAGAGGCATTGACTACAGAGGAAGGAAAAGGAAGCAGAGCAGAGGGTGGAGAGAGGCCACACAGGAGTGGGTGACAGGAGACTGCAGAGGGCAGGTCTAGGGCAGGAGGTAGAGAGAGGGCAGGCCCAGGGCAGGAGGAGGTAGAGAGAGGGCAGCCTGAGCACCCCAAGGGGTGCCTTGAAAGCAGGTGGGGGCAGGGAGCCAAGGGGGCGGGCCAGCCATGTCCCACGGGACCTACTACGAGTGTGAGCCCCGGGGTGGCCAGCAGCCACTTGAGTTCTCAGGGGGCCGAGCTGGGCCCGGGGAGCTGGGGGACATGTGTGAGCATGAGGCCTCCATTGACCTCTCTGCCTACATCGAGTCTGGGGAAGAGCAGCTTCTCTCCGATCTCTTTGCCGTGAAGCCAGCGCCTGAGGCCAGAGGCCTCAAGGGCCCCGGAACTCCTGCCTTCCCCCACTACCTGCCGCCTGACCCTCGGCCCTTTGCCTACCCCCCGCATACCTTCGGCCCAGACAGGAAGGCGCTGGGGCCTGGCATCTACAGCAGCCCAGGGAGCTACGACCCCAGGGCAGTGGCGGTGAAGGAGGAGCCCCGGGGGCCTGAGGGCAGCCGAGCCACCAGCCGAGGCAGCTACAATCCCCTGCAGTACCAAGTGGCACACTGTGGGCAGACAGCCATGCACCTGCCCCCAACCCTGGCAGCACCTGGCCAGCCTCTGCGCATTCTCAAGGTAAGAGTGGGCCAGCCCTCCTCCCTCCTGCCTGGGGCTGGAGAGGCTGCTGTGGACAGACCCTGTGCCCCTGCTCATGCTGCTGAGTCTGAGCTTTGTGCCACCCTGAACCCCACTATGTCCCAAAGCCCCTGTGGCAAGCTGACCTACCTTGATCTCAGGCCCCCCGGGCCCCTCGTCAGCCTCTCTGCTGCTCACCATACCCCCTCCTCTTGCTTCTCTGTCGCCTGCTTCTGTAAGAAAAGTCTGCTGGCCCTGGAACAGGAGACTCAAGACAGACTGAGGGAAAGTGTCTTCAGCAAGTGTGAGAACATTGGCTAGGTGCAGTGGCTCATGCCTGTAATCCCAGCGCTTTGGGAGGCCAAAGCTGGAGGGCTGCTTAAGGCCAGGAGTTGGAGACCAGCCTGGGCAACATAGCAAGACTCTATCTTTACAAGAAAAGAAAGAAAGAGAGAAAGAAAGAAAGAGAGAAAGAGAGAGAGAGAGAAAGAGAGAGAGAGAGAAGAAAGAAAGAAGGAAGAAAGAAAGAGAGAAAGAAAAAAGAGAAAATGAAAAGGAGTTTTGGTCTCAAGCAGAGGACCCTGTGCATCTGGGTTACCACCTCCCACAAGCAGGGCGATGATGGTTTTGACCTGAGAGACAGAAGCTGGCTCTGAGTCCTGTTTTCCTCGGATGTAGCAAATGTGCCCTGGCTGCGGAGATTCCCACCTCGCCTCCACTCTGCCTCCTGGCCAGCTCTAACCTCTCTGTCTCTCTGTGCCTTCCCCTCCAGGCCCCTTTAGCCACTGCCGCACCCCCCTGCAGCCCCATCCTGAAGGCGCCATCCCCAGCTGGTCCCTTACACAAGGGCAAGAAGGCGGTGAACAAAGACAGTCTGGAGTACCGGCTGAGGCGGGAGCGCAACAACATCGCCGTGCGCAAGAGCCGGGACAAGGCTAAGAGGCGCATCCTGGAGACGCAGCAGAAGGTGCTGGAGTACATGGCAGAGAATGAGCGCCTCCGCAGCCGTGTGGAGCAGCTCACCCAGGAGCTAGACACCCTACGCAACCTCTTCCGCCAGATCCCTGAGGCGGCCAACCTCATCAAGGGCGTGGGGGGCTGCAGCTGAGCCTGGCTGGTGGACTGTGGGCACCAGGCTCCCTTGCCCAGCCTGACTCTGGGGACCCCCATCCTGCTGGGGGCCTAGAACCCTGAGACATAGACCACGGACAAATGGCAACCAGGGTGACAAGGAAGGGCAGGACCCAGCATTATGATGTGGCTGAATAAAGTTGTGATGTGATTGGGTGTTGGGGCTGTTGGCTGTGTGTGGGGGGTCAGGGGCATGGAGTCTGTGGGGGGGGGCATGGAGTGTGCATGTGCATGTGTGTGCATGTGTGTGTGGCATGGAGGACCCTGGGACCAGAATGCATATGGCCAGGTCTGCACCTCTTGTTTCCATGCCCAAATGGACATGTGGAAACACAGACATGCTGTCCGCACTCCGCCCCCAACACACCACACAGCCAGGCCATGTATCTGTCACTCTGCTCTTCTCTCCCTGACATCCCCATCACCCCCTTCTGTGAGCTGAAAGCACTCCCACAGGACCTGCAGCAACCTCTGTAAGCTCTGCTGACAGATCTGTGGCTTATAGGGAGATCCTGGCGCCACAGTCCCTCAGGCGCAGGCCTGCTGGTCCCAGGCTCACTCTCTCTTACTTTGAGAAATGGGTCTAGAAGCTCCTGTCCCCAGGTAACCATAGGAAAATTCCTGATGGCTCTGCCATATTTATGGTCCCTTAACCCAGCATGCCTTCTCTTCTCTCCACTTCCAAAGCCTCAGTCTACCAAATGGACACCCTACCCACGCTGCTCCCACCTACACATTTCCACCCTTTGTCCCTCATCCCCTGGGGCTGTGGTTCCCTAAAGCTTGAGAATTGAGTGCATGGGACAGGAATCAGTTGGGAGAGATGTGGAGACCAGATTTGCATATGAGAACACTGGTAATGAGAAGGAGAATGACGGCTGCCTGTTCCAGGGAAGCTCCTCATTCAAAGCAGCATTTTCTTCTGCACCGGACTACAGCCTAAGAGACAGAATGGTACAGTTTAATCAAGAGACATAGTTTGAATCTTCCTCTGCTACTTATTAGTGGTGAGCCTTGGGCCATTACTTTTCTCTGTGCCTCAGTTTTCTCATCTGCAAAATGGTAGCAATATTCATACCCACCCTGTAGTGTTGTTATATACATAGAAAAAGAAAACTTTCATGTAATAAGCATGAATATTTATGATTCCTCCATTTTGTTAGAACTGAAAGGACCTCAGAGATCTCATCTAAACTTCTCATGTGGCAGGTAAGGAAACAGCCCGCAAAGAGGGGAAGGGACTTACCTGGAATCACACAATCGTTTAGAGGCAGAACCAAAATTAGCTCCATTAAAAATCACAGATCTCAAGATGTGCTGGAAGAGACCTCAAGAGATCATCTGGTGGGCTCTGTCGTCAGACCAGCAAGATAGGGTGAGCCACATCTTACAGATAAAGCAGTTGAGGGCCAGAGGGGATAAGAGGCTTCTCCTGATGCTCAGTGAGATCCTTCGCTGTCTCAGCATATGGTGTCTGTGTCTCTACGCTATGCTCTCCTCATGGATACTCAGTACGAGTGTCACATAAATCACTTTTTTTTTTTTTTTTGAGATGAAGTCTTGCTCTGTCACCCAGGTTGGAGTACAACGCCTGAGTTCAAGCGATTCTCCTGCCTCAGCCTCCCAAGTAGCTGGGATTACAGGTGTCTGCCACCACGCCCAGCTAATTTTTTTTTTTTTTTTTTTTTTTTTTTTAGTAGAGACAGGGTTTCACCATGTTGGTCAGGCTGGTCTCGAACTCCTGACCTCATGATCCACCTGCCTCAGCCTCCCAAAGTGCTGAGATTACAGCTGTGAGCCACAGCGCCCACCCATGAATCACATTTTATTAAGAACAGTGCCATGGCCGGGCGCGGTGGCTCAAGCCTGTAATCCCAGCACTTTGGGAGGCCGAGGCGGGTGGATCACAAGGTCAAGAGATCGAGACCATCCTGGTCAACATGGTGAAACCCCGTCTCTACTAAAGGTGCAAAAAATTAGCTGGGCATGGTGGCGCGTGCCTGTAATCCCAGCTACTTAGGAGGCTGAGGCAGGAGAATTGCCTGAACCCAGGAGGCGGAGGTTGCGGTGAGCCGAGATCGCGCCATTGCACTCCAGCCTGGGTAACAAGAGCGAAACTCTGTCTCAAAAAAAAAAAAAAAAAAACAGTGCCCAACAGTGTCAGGGATCTGGGGACCGATTAAGGGCTTGTTAAAGTCTCTCCTAGGCCAGTGCTGGGAAAGCCTGAGTCAGACATCAAGGAATAACTTTCTGAGAGGGCAAGAGACTGGCATCTGGATCATCCCAGATCTACCTCCCTTCTCCAAATCTCCAGCGGTGGAGGCTACTCGCACCTCAGGCATCCGTGCGCGGCATGTCTACCTTGCCCAGGACTCAGTCCTTTTCCTGCCTTGGCCTCTGTGTCTCTCAGGCACAGTCTATCCTACTTCTGTGTCCCTGGTGCCCGTGCCCCAGGTCTGGTTTGGCTGGACAGATCTGAACCTTCAGTGGAAGAATGGATGGGAGCTTCCTGAGGTCTGGAGGAACTGATGGGGTTTCCTAAGTTCAAAAGAGGAGAGGTGCCAGTTTCTGTGGGTGCCTGGGAGAATCCTCACACCTTCCTTTCAGCCTAGGGGGATAGGTTGCATAAGGGGGGTTTGTACAGAACATGGTAAATGACTCAACCTCCGGATTTCCTCCTCTCAGCTCAAGACCACTGCCCCTTGACTTACTTTCAAGGTTCTGGGTGATGGGACAGGGTTGCTTCAGCATCAACTCCAGACTTTGTTCCCACAGTTCTGAACTGTATCCCCTCTCAAGCCCCCGCCCACCCCATCAGGTCCTCAGGGCCTGTGCCTAGTAGAGGCTTCCTGACTGGCACTCAGTCTTCGGGAGTCACATCCCCATCTCGTTGCTGTGATCCCAGCATGACATGCAGCAGCTGAGCACATCCCAATCCTTTGCATCAGATCATATTCCAGGGGGATGAGTCAGAGCCAGAGGGTACGCTTCCTGAAGGAGGCTTTCAATCTAATAACCTCAACTGGTTTTGGCCAACGTAACTTATTCAACAAGTATTTGTTGAGTATCTTCTCTGGGAATGAGACAAGTTCTCAGCAGAAGGAGTAGGAAGAAAAAGTCAATAAACAAGTGTGCTGAATATCTTCCTTTGCCCCTCCAGAACCCTCTCCACCCTTCATCACCCGTTGCAGTCCCCAGGGAGATGCCTCCCTCCATCACCCAGCTTCCCAAGGGGTGAAGGTGAGACTGTCAGGAGAGTGACTGCTGAGCAGCCCTCTCCACAGTCCCTCCCAAAGGATTCCTGGTCCCGCTGCTGGGCTAGCCCAGGAGACTTCACCATTCCAGGAACTTTCCCTAGGTACTGCTGGTTCACACCTTCATACAGCACCTTCATTAGCTTCTCCTGCTAACTCCATTCCCCATTGGGGAATACACCATTGGGAAAACCAAACAAACCAACAGGTAGGGAGGCTATTTTAGCTTGGGTGACCAAGGAAGGTCTCCATGAGGAAGTGACATTTCAGTTGAAACTTGAAAATTTTTGAGAAGGAGGCAGGTGTGTCTTTGAGTGTAAGGGTGAACAGAGTAAAGAGTAAAGGCAGAAGTCCTAAGGTGACCAAGAAAAAGTGGTATCTGTGTCTCTACTCTATGCTATGCTCTCCTCATGGATACGCAGTACTCAGCCAGGAATGGCTGCTGAATGAAAGAAGGAAGGAGAGGATAAGCAAGAAAAAGATGCACCACCTTCCCTTCAGAATGGGGCTGCAGGGGTTGCAAATGACTCTTTTCATTCCCTCTGACAAGGAGGATGGTGCCTAAGAAGCTGGGGGAGGTGGAGAGCAGGGTTCTCCTTGCCCCTGGATTCAGCTTCCCTGCCCCTTGGTCCTCCCGTCACCTTCACCACAGCAAGGTTGTCACCACTGGGGAAGGAGACGGCAGAAAGGAGCCCGGGGAAGAGCAGTTAGCCAAACACTGCCTGGGGAAAGGCGCCAGGACCGGGGACTCGCTGTCGTTTGAAAAGCAGCACATCAAGGTCCAAACAGCGCACACATTCCTGTTTTTGCTTTAGCACCCGCAGCTCAGGTCCACTTTTCTTTGCGGAGCAGAACTGGGGAGAAGAATGAGAATTCGGAGCTGAGAGACAGGATCTTAGGCCACAGGGAAGCTGCAGAGGGGAAGGCAGACTGTGGGGAGACACTGCAGAGGGAGGAAGCTGCCCAAGGTGAGTCTGCCAAGGTCAGCCGGCGTGGTGGCTTGTGAAAGCTGCCCCCCCCACCCCCGCTCGGTGCACACCTCCCCACCCCTCTACACAGATTGCCACATGCCTGGGCCCCCAGGGCCCCCATCCCAGTGTTGCAAGATCCCGGTTGGGGTTGTGGGTGGAAAGGGGCCTCTTCACCTCCACCCCCTACCCTGCTCCAAGCCTGTGAGGGGACTATGGGATGAAGGGAGCTATTCAGGAGAGGCTGAAATGACAATAGGCAGGGCTGGCTGAGGCCCTGTGCGTCTCCTCTCCGACAGGCCAGTCACTTCCCATTACCGCCACCAGCCCCCCGCAGGCAGATCCCTCTGCCCAAGACTCAGCATGGGCTGCTCCAAAGTGGGAGTGGCCCAAGCTGGACAGAACCCCTGGTTAGCTTCGGTCAGCTGCTTCCATAAGCAGGCCTGGCCCGGCCTAAAAACCTCAGTGGCATGTGAGAAATTCTCCCCACAGGGAGAGGGCGGGGGTTTTCAGAGGAAAATGGCTGCAACTTAACTGCATCAAAATGGCCATTAATTCTGACTTCAGAGAGCAGCGGAAAGGTCCCAGGGCCCAGGAAGGGGCAGGGAGAGACCTAACAGGGAGAGACCCATCACACAGCTGTAACCTCGTGCTTCCCTTTACTATTTATTTATCTATTTATTTTACATCCAGGGATAGACTAGATTTTTTTCCCTTAGGCTCTCTTCCCTTTTAGAAGAAACAGGGCTCTGGGGGTAGGTAGAGGCAAGCCACACATAGAATGGATCCATCCCCACGATCTAAGCTTCACCCTGGAGTCTTAAACTGTCCAAACCCCTATTGTCCCCCACACCTAGTGCTGTCACCCCTGGCTGGGCTATCCAACCCTGCTGCAATCGGGACGGTTTGCAAAATGCCTTCTAGCTCCCGCTTTGT